AACAAACTAAAGAAAATATCAGACTCAGGTTGTTTTACAGGTGAGTTCTAATGAATACTCAAGGAATGAACAATACTGATCTTACTCAAATGGTTCTGGAGAAAAGAAAAAGAGACTATTCCTCAACTTGTAAGACTAGTATAATCCTGATGCCAGATCCAATGACAATAACAGAGAGGAAAATTATATTGTAAAAATTCAAATAAAATCATTACAATCCAAATCCAGCAATTTAAAAAAATGCTGAATTAATGAGTTAATCCCAGAAGTGAATGTTTTATCATTTGAGAATCTATCAGTGTGATTTACGACATATCATATTAAAAAAACCCCATATGATCATCTTTATAGACAGAAGCAAAAGTATTAATAACATACACATACCACAACCTCTAGCAAAGTAGGAACAGAACTTCTTTAACATAAAAACAAAGATATAAACAAACACAACCCACAACTTCCAGCTGCTTGTAGGAAACATCATATCCAATGGTGAAAAACAGAATAATTTCCTTTAAAGTCAGAACAGAAGAAAAGGATGTTTGCTATAACTGCTTCTATTTAAGTCTAAAGATCCCAGGTAGCACAAAAAAATATGAAAATGAATGAAAAGTATTAAGGATTAAAAAGGAAAACCACAATTGTTAGTATTTCAAGGGAAAGGATTATATATATAGAAAACCTAAAAGGATCTACAAACTAATGAGAGATTTCACCGAAGATGTAACATATAAAATATATATAAAACAATAATGGAACAGTAATAAATTAAAATATAATAGGGGCACCTGGGTGGCTCAGTCACTGAGTGTCTGCCTTTGGCTCAGGTCATGATCTCAGGGTCCTGGGACTGAGCCCCACATTGGGCTCCCTGATCAGTGGGGAGCCTGTTTCTCTCCCTGCCTGCCACCCCCCCTATTTGTTCTCTCTCTCTCTCGGTCAAATAAATAATAAAATCTTAAAAAAAGAATATAATAAAAATACCAATTATGATTAAAAAACCCCAAAATAATAAATTCTACAGGTTTCCCTAAAAGTTTCAGGAAAAAATTTAACCTTTATTGAAGACTTTTAAAAAAGACCTAAATAAAGCAAAGATCTTATTGATAGGAAGATTCAATTCTATAATGACTCTCCTCTTCAAAATTAATCAATAAATGTATTATAATTCCAAACAAAATGCCACCAGGATCTTTCACGAAACTCACAAGTTGATTCTAAAATTCATATGGAAAAACAAATAGTCAATTTTGAAGACGAACAAGGAAGGGAAACCTTGCCTTGCCAGATTCAAAAATTATAAAGCCACAGTAATTAACACAGTATGGACTCAATAAAGAAATAGAATAATTATCATAATAATATAAGCAAATAGAAATTCTGAAATTGAAAAGCACAATAGCTGAAGTGAAAAATTAACATGAGGGGCTGAACAGCAGGTGTGAAATGACAGAAAAATGAGTCAGTGAGCTTGAACATAGATCAATAGAAATTATTCAGTCTGAAGAACAGAGGAAAAATGAAAAGAAAATGAACAGCACTTCAGAAACACGTAGTACAATGTGAAGTGTACAAACATATGGGTAATGGGAATCCCAGAAGGAGAAGGGTAAGAGAAAAGGACTGAAAAATTATTTGAAGAAATAATGGCCAACAACTTCCTAAGTCTGATGTAGAGCATTAATCTGCGAAATCCAAGAAGCTCAATGAAGCCAAATTTTGATAAACACCTTGATATATCATAATCAAGCTGCTGAAAGTCAAAGAAAAAAGTCTTGAAAGTAGCAAGGGCAGAATGGCTCATCATGTCCATGGAAGCAATATAATTAAAGGCTGACTTTTCATCAGAAACAATGGAAGCCAGAAGACAGAGGAATGACACAAAGTAGTGAAAGAAAAAAAACTATCAATAAAACTATCCTTCATAAATGAACATTCCCAGTAAACAAAGACTGAGAATTTGTTGCCATCAGACCTGCCTTACAAAAAATACTAATGGAAGGAAGGCCTTGAAGCTGAAAGAATGTGATACCAGATGATAATATCAATCCACAGCAAGGAATGAAGAGGGCTGGAAATAGTAAATATATGGATAAATATAAAAGAGTTTATAACATATTTTTCTCATTTCTTCTCTTAATTTCTTTATAAGAGAAAAGACTGTATAAAGAAATAATTATTACACTGTATTACTGGGTTTATGACATAGATTTAAAATACGTAATAAATAATAGGGGTGTCTGGCTGGCTCAGTCAGTGGAGCATGTGACTCTTCATCTCAGGACCATGCTGGGCCTAGAGCTTACTTAAAAAAAATATGTAATTATTATAGCAACACCAAGTGGGGGGACGCAAAAGATATACTGGAGCTAAGTTTATAATTCCCTGGAATTAAGCATTACTCTGAAGTAGACTGTTAAGATGCATACCTTGAGCAACCATTAAAAAATAAAAAAGTAAAAATTTCTATAGAGGAATCAAACTGGCATACAAAAAATATTTATTTCACACAATAGTAGGCAGTAAAGGAGTACGAGGACCAAAACAGATGAGACAGATAGAAATAAACTGCAAAATGGCAGATGTAAAAGGTAAAGATGTCAGACTGAACAAAAGACCAAGACCCAACTATATGCTATATACAAGAGACAGACCTTAGATTGAAAGACACAAACTGAAAGCAAAAAAAAAAAGGGGGGGGGAGATATACTATGTAAAGAGTAGCCATAAGAAAGCTATAATAAACAAGACTGTGTGGTACTGGCACAAGGACAGGTAACTAGATCAATGGAAGAGAATTAAGAGTCCAGAAACAAACCCATTCCTTTGTTTATTTGATTTTTGATAAAGGTGCCAACACAATAAAGGGTATTGGCACAATTAGGTATCTACAGGAACTTAAGACCCTCATCTCATACCTTATAAATATCAGGTCAGGATAGATTACAGACTGAATGTAAGAGCTGAAACTATAAAACTTCTAGAAAAAAAATGAAGGAGAAAACTTTTGTGATCCTGTGTTAGGTAAAGAGTTTTTTTTGTTTTTTTTTTTTAACGTAGGTTCCACGCCCAGCATGGAACTTGAACTCATGAGCCCGAGTTCAAGAGTTGGATGCTCTACCGACTGAGATAGCCTGGTGCCCCTGGGTAAAGAGCTCTTAATGATACAACACCATAAGCCACAAAAAAAGTGATAAAATGAACTTCATTAAAATTAAAGACATTAGTACTTTAAAAGACATCATTAAGAAGATGAAAAGACACATACAGATCAGGAGAACATATTTGCAAATCAGATATCTGATAAAGGACTTCTATTCAAAATAAAGAAGTCTTACAACTCAATAAAACAGCCAAACCAAAAAGAAGGGGGGGGGCAAAAGACTTAAATGGACAATTCATCAAACATATAAATGGCTAAAAGACACATGAAAAAGTGATCAACATATTAAAAAAAAGTGACCAACATAAAAAATTAGGGAAATGCAAATTAAAACTATAGTACAATACCACTACACACCCACAAGAATGACTACACTCCAAAGACAGATAAATCACATTTATGAGGACACAGATAAACTGGAACTCTCAAATACTAGTGGTGGGAATGTAAAATGGTATAGCTACTTCAAAAACAGTTTGTAAGTTTCTTTAAAAAGTTAAACATAATTTGCCATATAAGCAAATCTTCCATTTCTAGGGATCAATCCAAGAGGAATGAAGACAAACGTCAACACAAAGCCTCTATGAGATTGTTCACAGCAGCATTATTCAAAATAGCACAAAACTGGAAACTATTCAAATGTCCAACTGGTGACTAGATAACCAAAATGTGGTGTATGCATACAACGAAAAACCATGCAGCAACAAAAGTATTGCTATATATTCTATATATTCATAGAAGCTATATCATGGTTGACCCTCAAAAACATGATGCTAAGTGAAAGAATGTAGATGTAAAGATTATATACTGTATATGTTATGCATACTGCATTTGTAAAATATTATGTATATTGAATACTGATCTCACACATACACACACACACACTCACGCACACACAACTCTATTTACATAAAATGTCCAGAAAAGGCACATTTGTAGAAACTAAAAGCAGATCAGTAGTTGTCTGGAGCTGGGAGTGTTGGACTGATTGCAAAACGGCTTGCAGGAATTTTTTTCAAGGGAATTTCTAAAACTGAATTATGGTGATGGTGGCATAGTTCTATAAATTTACTAAAAATTATTAAATTGAACATTTACAATGGAATAGCAAATAGCTAATTTTATGGATGCAATTTTTACTTCAATAAAGCTATTTCCAAAAAGCTATGGCATTCACTCTAATAGAAAGAACAGATTCAGTTTAACTGAAAACATTACAAATCTACCAATTAAATCTGTTCCATTTAAATGCCATTGAACATTTGGGGAAAAAAACTTGCATAAAATCCTTCCTAATCTATTATTACCAAATCTGTTTTGTGAATCTAGCCAATTGCTTCAAGAAATAGGCCACTCTAACACGTCAATTAGCGTAATTTGAGGAGCATCGAGCTTGAGTTGAACTGATAACAAGACAGTAAGTTCTACTTCTGAAGGTACATTTTAATTGATTTTAATTGTAGGTTCTTTACTTTGATATCTAGATGGAAGAAAACTCAGCATACAAATAGCATTTTTCAATGTAGTAAAATAAATTTCTGTATGATTTTTTTCTTTTTTTTCAAATAGTAAAAATAAGGAGAAAAAAATGCAAGATTTAATTTTAGAGCTTCATTGATGGCATGACATGTATGAACTTTTATTTTTTTCACTGAACTAGGTTCATGTATTTCAATGAAAGACACCTTTGACTCAAACATTAAAAGCTTTCTGTGTAAAACTATGATGGTGTGAAATTATAATATTTTACTGTTTGCTATCCCATTCAAGAAACAATGTAGTTATTGTACTGTGTTATTTGTTCCCCTTTCCATGTGATATATAATACAGCACTTACCCTGCTTTCTTCTAGGCTATCAAATGGGCCTGGTGGATCATCCAGACAAAGAAATTCTCTCACTGCAAGGCTTTTCAAAGGGGGAAAAAAAAAAAAAAGATAAGCTGGGGTACAAATAAGTTTACCAAAGACAGAAAGCGAAAGTTACTTTGAAGATATACAGTGTTTTAAGCAAGTTGGTTTTGGGGATACACCAAAAGCAGCAAGTTGGTTTATGTGTTTTCACACAACCAACCAAATACAAATATAAAATCTATAGAAGATACAAAGATTTTAAGCCATTTTCTAAGATCTTATGAACACAGAGACTGTAAATTCATACTGCAGGAGATAAAATATAAGTCAGAATAATGGTATAGGAAACCAACCTAAATGATGAATAGAAACAGTATTACTTCCAAAATTATTAATTTAAACTAATCTAAAAATGTCATTATCTTGTTATGAAGAAATACAATTTCTAATTTATACTTTATTTGTTTCATTGTCAGGCGATGCTTCTAAAGTAACTGAAAAGTATTTACTCTGAAACAAGTTAAAGATTTTTCTTGCAATCATGTTTATTACAGTAATTTACACATATATTTTCCCTGAAGAGTTTAAGAGAAAAAAATACTGAATAACTCATTTCTGAATTACCATAAATTTCAAAATAATGAAATACAGTTGACCCTTCAACCACACAGGGGTTAGGGGTGCTGACCCCCTGTGTAGCTGAAAATCTGCATATAACTTTTGACTCTTCAAAAAGTTAACTAGTAATAGCCTACTGTTGACTGGAAGCCTTCTCCTTAACATAAATGGTCAATTAACCCATATATTGTATATTATATACTGCATTTTTACAATAAAGTAAGCTAGAGAAATGAAAATGTTATTTAGAAAATCATAAGGAAAATACATTTATAGTATTATGCTGTAAAAAAATCTGTGTATGAGAGGATCTGTGCAGTTCAAAGCTGTGTTATTCAAGGGAGCAACTGTAATATGGTATTGTTGTCTTTGGCAATTATCAGAAATAGGTTAAAACAGTAGAAAACTTATTAACTTCCTTGTTACAAAAATACTCACCTTTCTAAAAGCAATTTTGGACTGAGAGGCAACTCTGTGTGCATGTTAGAACAAATATGGAGACTTAAAATTTTTAGGTATAAAAGGATAAAAATATATTTTGATGTACTGTATAGATGTCAACCTATGCTGAAAAGGGGATGTACATTGGGGTTCATACTGGGTCAGATGGATCGATGATGACAGGGGATGGTCTTGAAGAGACAAATGGGTGGAATATACAGTGAAGCCTTTCAAAAGTAAACATAATGTGAATTAGTATAGAGAGTGGTGTTAAGAAATTAATCCAGAAGATCACAAAGACAGAAAAAAGAGGAGTAAATCTGTGGACGATAAAATCTTGACAATACAGGTAATAAAGGACACAGAGTCAGGGAAACTGAGAAAAAACTTGAGTATTCATAATCATGAAATAATAGATACGGAAAGGATCTTAAATGTGATCTAGCTGCTTTTTAAAAAATGTGATCCATAGTATGCTTTTTATCCTTTTCATGTGTTCAGCCAAGAGTGTACCTAAACACCTCCAGGAATAGGGAATGTTCCACCTCTTAGAATAAACCATCTGATGTCTGAAAAATACTAAAAATTAGAGAATTATTTCTTCTACTGAGCTAAAATTTTTCTCCCTGCAGCTTCTACTCATGAATCTTAGTTCTGCTTTTGAGTCATTCAGGGCAAATCTAAGTCCTTTCTCACCTGATAACCCTAAAAGCACGTTGAGAATGTTACAGTTCCTCTAACCTTATATTCCCCCAAAGCAATACTAATACACTATTTTTTTTTTTTTATCCTGTAACAAAATTTACTGTGTACTTACAGCCTGTATGGTCTCTGCACTTATGGAACCAACATTTTTTCCCCAGTTTTACTGAGGTGTAACTGACAATTAAAAATTGTATATTATTTAAGATGTACAACTTGATTTAAGTATACACTGTGAAATGTGAACTACAATCAAGTTAATTAACATATCTATCACCCCACAAAGTTATCATTTCTAATTTAAAGTACATTTCACACACAGGGCTTTCATATATCCTATTTCATTTAATTTTCACAATAATCATGTGAGGTGAAGACAGGCATTACATTTCCATTTTACAAATGATCCAAAGTTCAGAGAGTTAAAATCCATACAAGTGCAAGTGGTAGAGCAAGACCTTAAATCTGTCTTCCGAGCAAAAATATGTGCCTTTCACCTTTAAATTCTTTTCTGTTATATTATGGGTCACTTGGATCCTTTCCCCTTGCTGGTCACTTCCCTCAGAAAACATTAAATTGTCTGTATCCTTTAACCACGGCCTCTAGAATACTGCAATTGGTCTAAAAGCACAGAGAAGAACAGGACCACCACACATTCTTTTGGTTTAGCTATTTATACTTTTATCCTCTCATTATCAGAGAACCAACTATTAGGCAAAAAATGAGTCACAGGAAATAAACTGATCTTGGGACTGAGAGGTCAAAAGTCTAGATGAAACCCTGAGAAGAGCCTTTAATATTGATAAGGAAAGTGCACAGAAGTTTACAGAAGGGCCTTTTTTTCTTTTTAAACTTTCAGTATATGATAACTCAATGTGAGACATTGTTTTCTTATAGCTTTATACCCAGACTTCCTCATTCTTTAGGAACATTTTTATGTTTGCAAATTACTCTATTGAAATGCTGCTGCTATGAGACAAAGTAGTTAAGGGAATATATGTATCTCTTTTTATACCTTTGACTTATAGTAGAAATTTAGCCCAAGATCCACAGTGATGTTGACAATGTACCCAGCTGTATATCTTTTTTGGAATGCCTTTTCTATTTCATTCTCCTTCCCTAAACATCTTTATGATCTATATTACCTCCCCATGACTTATTTATTTTACAACTGGAAGTCTGTAGCTCTTAATCCCCTTCACCCAATATATAGCATAGAGAATATAGTCAGTAGTAACTTGGCAATAACTTTGTAGTGACAGATGGCAACTAGACTTTCTGTGGGAATCATTTTATAATGTATAAAAATACTGAATCACTATGATGTACACTTGAAACTAATGGGATATTATATATCAATTAATACTTTAGTAAAAAGAGAAAAATCTTTATGATCTATATAGCTCACTAGAGTGCTACTCAAACAAAATCCAATGGATTCCCTAAGTTGTTTTCCAATATAGCTCAAGGTCATATTCCATGCCCCACCTTCTTTAATCTGTAACATAAGAATGAAATTTAAAACTGGCTATACAACTCTGATTTATAAAATACTTTCTCAGGGTTTCACTACATCTCCTCAGTTTCAACAGGACTCAGGTGGCAGAGGAAGACAGTCAATATGCTCAAACTCTATTCCCATAGGAGAGGGACACACAAGAATCTCTGGGAGATGGTAACAGACATTCTGATACCTTTTTTCCCCCCTAGAAAAGGAAACCTTTACCCCTGTGTGAGAATCACTGACTAGAGAACTTTATTTAGATTTGATAAATATTTGACTGCTTATGTGTGCCATGGTTCTGTTCAATGATTTCCTACATATTATCAATGTATAATTTATAAGCAAATTAACGCTGATTCAAATAAAATGTAAACACCAGTCTATTATTATTAAGTGGTCTATAAATTAAATAGAAGTTAATTTTTTTCCAGAGAATTGAAGTTTTTATTTTTTTATTATGTTCAGTTAGCCACTGTATAATACATCATTAGTTTTTGATGTAATGTTCAATGATGCCTTAGTTACGTATAACACCCAGTGCACATCACAACCTGTGCCCTCCTTAATACCCATCACCCTGTTACCCCCTAGAAGTCAATTTTTAAGAAGAAAGTCTTTTTTTCCTCCTTGTTCACTGAAAGGTTCAGTATAGCCCCCAATCTCTCCTCCATATTCAATCTTTAATACTTTTGCTTCCATTTGTCTATGATAATAAAAGTAAGAAAAACAGGATAAAAGAGAAACCTATCTAAGAGAAAAATCCAATAATCTGGAATTAAAAGGTAAAGAAACACTTTGTATCTTTCTATTCCCTTTATTACCTAGAGTAGCTTTTTAGTGTGTTTGGGAAAACTCTATTTTAAAATTGAGATCAGTTGTTGACTTAGCTTGCCTGAAGATAAGAAGACCACAGATGGTATCCTTCAGCACTTTTTTATCCGAGCAAATTTGCCCTATAACTTTACCTCTTCCTCTGATTCTCTAAAAAAGTTTTCTTTCAGAGTTTTACTATATTTCTGAACTTCTTAAAAAACTATTTCATCCGGGGAACTTTCATCTTCTACCTACTATTATATTTTACTTTTTTTCTTTCATAGAGATGTATCTGTCTACATTTCAATTTTTAAAAAAAACCCAGTAATTTAATAGCTAAATGTACTTTCATCTTGAAATGTATATTTTAAAAGAAAAAAACCCTTAAAACTAATGCCTACAATTCATTAAAAGGTCAATCAAGAACTAAGTAAAAAGTGCACTAAAAATACTAGATGCCAATTCTATCAAAATCAGATTAAGCACAAAAAGGCTACTGCATGAAAATATTCCTCGAGGATTTCAGACAGAAATGTTATATCGGTTAGTACTTCTCTTCAGTATTCTCTGCCAGCTAAAAGAAAATAATTGACAAAAAATTGACATTAAACACAGCCTGGAGAATAAGGACTCAGAGATCAAGGCTGGTGACAGTGAGGGTCACAATGGAGATGGACTGGTTGGGTGTGAGGCTGAAGGGCTCACGTTTAGAATCCTGCGGTGGAATATGGAGGCAGTGGGGAACCAGTTTAGACCTTGATTATCTCTTGCCTAATTACTAACCCACTTTTGTCCCTACGTTCAATTTTATTCCTTCTAATCCAGAGTACTTAAAAAACAAACGTTTTATGTCAAACCCAGCTTAAAACCCATCTATGCCTCCTCTAGCAAGAGGGAACAAAGCCAAGATCTTTGTGTTGGCATAAAACACCTGCCTACATTTCAGTTTTAACTGTCTTTCCTAACTGACACTTCAA